TTACACTTCACATCTTAACTCTTTTTCTCACACGATCCTTCACCTATGACCTTAAACGATTTTTTAATTAAATCCACAACCTTTCATTAATATGAAGCCATTTTTCCTTAGTATGTATGGAGGTTATAAATTTAATTAAAAACTTATTTGAGGCCATTAACGATATATAATTGAGATATTTAAATATATAACTTAAATGAKATTTTAAATAAATMTACTACCAYACGGGTCGGACCCGACCCGTTAACAATTTTTATGTTATGTTTTATTATTATATGATTTAGATTTGACAACAAAAACACGACAATAATCGTTAGAATTCAACTACTTGTTCATATGTACGATTTCTACTTTACGAAACTTGGTAACTTGTTCAATCTAATCTCTTCCGGTGGCTCAGTTAGATGGGGCTGAGTAGTAGCCGTTGCCGATAGTTCTTGTGCAACGGTGCGCATCGATGGTCTTGACTCGGGTGCYAGTTGGGTACAAGCCAAAGCAACATTTAGTACATACACAACTTGCTCGCCGACTGTATCCGTGGGAGGCGGAAGCCTCCGGTCGAGGATGTCTTTCAGTAGAATGAGATCGTTTGCAGTGGTAGAGGTCGTGTTTGATGATTGCAGAGAGGATAAGAGCTCACCGGGATGCCTCCCCATCATGATCTCGAACGTTACGACTCCAAAGCTAAAAACGTCACATTTTGGCGTAACCCTCATCGTGAGTGCAAGTTCTGAAGCATAACGCATTAACAAAAGTAGCTTGTTTTAGTAAACCGGTTATAAAGCGATAAAATCCTTTAACACACTTTAATGTCATATAAATAGATTAATAAGACGCTTTATTCGGTTGTCAAGAAAAACTTGTTAGAATATTCAAAACCATTTTATCAACTCGTTGTAATACTGTGGTTAACCAAAAACGTACCTGGTGCCATGTAGCCGTAGGACCCTGCGACTCCGGTCCAATTACTCGAGTCCGGGTTCAACAGTTTGGCGGTCCCGAAGTCCGACAACCTGGGAACCATATCGGACTCGAGTAAAATGTTGTTCAACGAGACGTCTCGATGTACAACCGGGGGAATGCAGTCATGGTGCAAGTAGGCTAATGCATGGGCTAAATCCTGGACGATTTTAACCCTCGTATTCCAATCTAATTCCACAATTGCCCCTGCTCCATAAAGTACTTTTCCCAAACTACCCTTCTCCATATATTCGTACACCAAATGCATCCCGCCGTCCCTGCGACAGTAGCCGTACAGTTTGATAATATTCCGGTGACGGATTTCCGTTAGGGCACGGATTTCGTTCTCGAAACTCTGTTTGTTTGTCGCCGGAACGTCGTCGGGATCTGTGTTCAGTTTCTTCACTGCTACAATCTGTCCGGTTGGTAATTTGGCTTTGTACACGCTCCCGAACCCTCCTTTTCCGATGCAGTACGTTTCGTTGAAGTTTCCAGTGGCTTTTACGATGTCTCCGAACGTAAATCGGCTGTCTCTTTCCCATATAACGAATTCGGAGTTTTGAATTGTGGTGGTGCTTCTAATCTCTTCGTCAATGGGGTTTGATCTTCTTCGTATGACGATGCAAAATACAGCAATCGTTATTGCCATTAAGAAGAAAATGATCGCCGGTACGAGAACAGCAATAAGCAGTTTCTTGTTGTGGGGGGATTTTTCCTGTGTGGCGTTGCTGTTACAAGGAGAGAGTCCTTTTAATGATCCACACAGATCTGGATTTCCGGCAAAGGATTCTGCCGGTGCTTGTTTGAATATACCCACATTCGGGATTGGTCCTGATAAATTGTTGTAGGAGAGATCAATTGATTGTAAGCTAATCATGCCAGTAGCTATCGCTTGAGGAATTCCACTTGAGAAATTGTTGTGTGAAAGATTGAGAGTCTGGAGGATGTTGAGCTTCGCCAGATTCGGAGGAATTCTACCGGAAAATGAATTGCTGCTTAGATCTAACAGATACTGCAACCGGAACAAGTTTCCGAGCTGAGAAGGTACTTCTCCTGACAAATCATTGTTGCTCAAATTCAAGCTTGATAAGCTTACACAATTTCCGATCGTTGTTGGTATGCTTCCATWCAGATTGTTTGCCGAGAAATCGAGAGCTTGAAGACGGGTTAAGTTGTCTAAATTCTGAGGGATCTGTCCACTCAACTGATTGTTGCTAAGATTGAGATTGAACAAATTGTTCAATTTACCCAATTCACTCGGGATTTCGCCGGTAAGTTGGTTCCATTCGAGTTTTAGAACGCTTAACCGTGGTAAGTCTCCGATCTCCGGTGGAATTTTCCCAGAAATTCTGTTCCTTTCCATTTGCAGATTGGTTAGATTTTGCAATTTTCCGAATTGGGGATTGATTTCACCTGTAAACTGATTGCCACCGAGGTTGATGTATATGAGATTTGGATGCACACCAAATGTTCGTGAAATGTCCCCAGTGAACTTGTTTCCATCCAGCCTGATCCTACGAAGGTTCGTACAGTTCCTTATGCAATCCGGTAATAACCCACTGAAATTGTTGCCATTTACAGTGAATTGATCAAACTGAAACCCGCTGCACAATCCTGAAGGTAATTTTCCAGAAAAACTGTTGTTTGCRAAGCTGACATTTGTTAGAAACAGGTTGTTCTTGCCTAAATCTTCAGGAATTCCACCCGATAAATGGTTGCTAAACAGTGAAAGAACCATGAGGTTAGAAAGATTAGAGAGAGTATCTGGCAACTCTCCACTCAATTGGTTGGTGTTGAGGTCAAGTGCAGTCAATGAAGTCAAGTTTCCGATCTCCGGTGGAATTTTTCCGGTGAGATTATTGGAGAAAAGCTGTATCGTGTGAAGGTTGGTCAAGTTTCCGATTGTCGAAGGTATTGTACCCRAAATCCGATTGTCTGAAAGGTCCACACTCTCAAGATTTTCCAAGTTCCCAATCTCCGGTGGAATTGGGCCTGTGAAACTGTTGTTRTACAGAAAGAGAAAACTGAGATTTGTCAAGAGACCAATCTCCGGTGGGAYTTTTCCGGTGAAGAGATTGTTTTGAACCTGAAAAGAAGTCAATYGGGTCCAACCGGTGATTAAACCAGAAGAAATCTCACCAGAAAGATTGTTTTCAGAGAGACCCAGATCAGAAATCTGGGTCAGATTGGATAACGACAACGGTAATACCCCAGAAAGTGAGTTTCCGGCTAGAGCCAAGAAACTTAGATTAGAACAGAATCCAAGCTCAGAAGGAATCGAAGAATTGAGTTGATTCGAATGGAGATCTAGATACCAAAGATTTCGAAGCTGGCCTATAGAAGAAGGTATCTTTCCATCAAATGAATTCCCATACAATTCTATAACTTCAAGACTTGGCATCAAACTTAAATCCTGCAAAATTGGGCCTGAAAATTGATTGTTCCCTAATCTAAGATCTTTCAAATTTGAAAGATTATAGAAGTTCATTGACAACGAACCTCGAAACAAATTATCWGTGAGATTGAGGTATTGAAGCTTGCCCAGATTGGTGAATAATGATTCAGGTAAAGTGCCATTAAAATGGTTTGATGACAAGTCAAGAAAAGTCAACTTCTTGCATTCAAGAATGAAATCTGGGAATCCATTCTCAAATTCATTGTAGTAAAGATTGAGAAAAGTCAAAGCTGGCATACTTAAAAAGTCAAACCAGTTTGGATTTGGATCAGTTAAGTAATTCCCTCCAAGGTTCAAGTACCATACCTTTTGAAGATAGCTGATTTGAAATGGAATTGGACCATTCAGACTGTTATCATTAAGATTAAGATATCTTAACTGTGTTAACCTTCCAATCTCTAATGGGATTTCATCTTCAAAGAAATTGGAGCTCAAATCCAAGAACTTGATGCTTGAAAGGTTGGCAATGGTGGATGGAATCAAACCAGTGAAATTGTTATGACTTAGAACCAAATGGGTAAGATTTGAGAATGCAGAAAAGTTGAATTCTGTTAGTGTTCCAGAGATGGACGAATCTTGAAGATGAATCTTGACCACCATTCCATCTTCATTGCAGATAACACCATTCCAGTTGCAGAGACTCTGAACGTTTCTAGAAGACCATGAACCCAATGAAGAAGATGATAAGGTATTCTTCCATCTAATTAAAGCTGTTGCTTGTGTTATCGAGTCTGAGGTGGTCTTTAGTGGCAGTAAAGAAAGAAGTGAAACATAAAAGAGGAGATGTAGGATGCTTTCAAATCCTGCCATTGATGAGTTTTAAGGTGTTTTCATGGCAGAATTTGAGGTGTTATAATGAAGTTTGAGAGAGGAGATGAGAAGTTGATTGAAGTCTGAAGAGATTGACAGCAGAGTGGGTAGATAAGCAATATAAATATGTGTGGTTGAATTTATAAAATGAAGTTAGATTTTTGTGCCAGATTTAAATGAGTTGTGAAATGGGGTCCGAAAATATGTGGAACTCTGTTATATTACTTTTCAAAAAGTCATTTTAAACAGAGAACGAAGGTTCTAACATAGAAATAAATAATATTATAAAATAAAGTGAAAAAAATAGTGATTTAAGGTTAGGACAAAGAAGAGGCATGTAGCATGTTTTAGAGGATTGAGCTTTCAAAGTTTGTTTATGCTCAATTTGGGTGTCTTCCATCTCCATCATTATCATCACATGGAGATGGTAGGAAATAAACATTTTAAAAAATAAAAAATAAAAAAATCAATTTCAAGTTTGACTTCTTTGTTTATTATTTGGGAATCTTATAGTAAAAGTTATATTGAAATTAACAGATACAATGGCTGGCAATTCAATGATTCACCTTATTTTATGTTTGACTTTTATGTGTTTTTGTATGTATATTTTTAATTATTTAATTGGTATTATGTCATTTTTTTATGATTTTTGTGCTTTGGATTTATTTATTATAAATTGGTCACTGAATTATATAATTAAAGTATTTTTATCATATTTTCTATAATAGGAAAAATAAATTAGAGATTTTGTTTTTATATATTACTCCACCAAATTTTCTATATGATATATAAAGGGGTGGGTTAAATGTACCACTGCTTTTTAATTTAATCTTTACAGATATCAACATAAATAAATACTTAGGTGACGTTTGTTTTTTAAGAGGTGTTGAAGTCTGAATTCACTTCTGAATTTTAAGAGGTGGTTCTGAAGTCTGAAATCTGAATCAGTGAGACTGTTTGTTTTTACGTATGAAATCTGAATGAATATAAACACGAACAAAGTCTCAGGACAACTAAAATCAATATTCATTTTGCATTAATTGTGTTGCCATTATCCCCTTGCTCATTGGTTTGATCATACTAAAAAAATAACTCATATATAGGAGAAAAGAGTTAGAAAAAGAGAGGTATGAAACCAATAATAAGATGAATATAATATATAGATTGATAAACTTTCTTTTTGAAACATATGAAAATAGTTTTCCTAAAGAACAAACCCTTGTTTACAGATAAGAGAGGGAGAGGCAGTTTGCAAAAACTAAACAAGTAAGGCCATCTTCATGAGCATGATGATGGTCTTCCCTACTATGAATCCCCACACACAAAACAAAACCAAAAAACAAAAAGCACTTCAGTTCTCATCTTCCTCCTCCAATCCTAATCTCTCATCCCTTCCATTTCCTAAAAAGCATATCACAAATTAGATTAAACCAAACGAAACTGATTTCTACCCGAAAACAAAGCATTTGTTTATGTGAAACACAATGAGAGATTGAAACAAAGATGTAGAGGAGAAAAAGGAACAATATGAACACTATAACATTCATCATTATGCTCAACAAAACTTGTATGTCTAGTTTCATCTGGATATCTCTATATACTACTCAGGAATTATGTAAAGAAAACAAAACTCATAAACTAATTCTACAAAAAGACTGTCTCATTCCATGTATATATATATATATATATAGAGGAGTGATCATATGAAAACCGCCCTCATTTGTGTAAACCGTGCAAACCACCTTCATCTGTCGATTTCATTGTTTAATCTTATGAAATTTTTTCATGAAATTGTTTAATCTTGTGAAATTGTTTCATATAATATTTTTTTTGATGAAGTTGTTTCATATATGGTTGTGAAATTGTTTCATATAATACTTAATGAAACTGTTTCATGTATATCTCTAAAATTAAAATAATGAAGAACACAACTCAACTTTGTATTAGAACATAATTTCTTTAATTCAAGAAAAAGACCCTCATGGCCACAAGAAGCTTTTAAAACTAGTCCATCTTACTTGTGTGTGTGTGTCTATATATATATATATATTACCTAATTAACTCTCACATATTACAAATATGCTCCTTCAAAACCATTAACACAATCAATATCAACTCACCTCTACATTTATCCCTTCTTCATTTATCCCTATAAGAAAAATCAACATCATCAAATTAACTACTCAACAAGTATTGCCTATTTTTTAACACTTTTTGGTTCATACTATCCTACTTTACCTTAAAAGATATTCGTTAATTACCTTGGCTTTTCCTATAGGGAGGCAGAAACTTGAATCAAGGGGCTTCCCCGAAAATGGGGAAGGACTCGCCATATCTAAAACACACACAAGGTAGACTACATTATCTGTGATCTAAACAAAAATGGCAAGGATGCTTGGATCTTTGACATCGATGACACCCAAAAAAAGAGGAATGTAGATAAATCCTTACATGGCCTCAGGTATTTCCATGGCGTTTCTTATGCCAAACCAAACAAAAAGAAAACATATAAATAGTCAACTATTTAAAAAACCCAAATCTAAGAACAATTCTTATATGTTTTGAACACATAACTCATGCTCCCTGTTGTGGGTTCTCAGAGAGATCGAGAGGCAGAAGACCTATTACCTTTCTTGAGATATCGAGAGGAAGAAGAAGAGATCGAGATTCGGAGCTTGAGGTGTTTTAGATCGAGAGAGAAATCGAGAGCTGAGACGAGATCTGGAGCTTGAGGTGTTTTAGATCGAGAGTGAAATCGAGAGCCGAGACGAGATCTGGAGGAGGCTTCTGAATTTGAGAGGCGGGAATGAAATCGAGATTGGGAGCGAGATAGGGAGGACGCGTCTGAAAGTAACTTCAGAGTTACACTTTTCACTTAAAAATTCAAATGATTTTAAGAGGTTTTAAGCTCTTAATTTGAAAAAAAAAACAAACTGTCTGAAATGGTATATGTCTGACCGAATCAAACTTCAGATGTAATTAAGAGGAGAATATTGAAAAACAAAACAGGCCCTTACTTATTATATTTTCAATCTGATTCTGAAATAAAGAAGGTGGATATGGTATTACTCTATCTAAAATAGAGAAAACAAGAGAAACTTTGAGTTTAAAAAAAAAAAAGACAAATTACATGAAAAAAACAACGTATTTTAGGTTGATTCTTATTTTGAGTAGCGTATTTTTAGAACTTTCATTTTGGTATTTAAGATGTAAAGTTTTTAAACTTTTAAGTATCCGGGTAACTGGTTGAAGACTAATTTTAGATTAAAAAAATTCATGTCACTAACCACGTCAACAAATAATACCGAGTGAATATCATATCACTCGTCACATCAGCATGATAACCGGTTAATATTTCAATCAGTTACCCGAGTAGTTAAATGTTTAACACTTTACATCTTAGGTACCAAAATGAAAGTTTTGAAAATACGTTACAAAAAATATGAATCAAGTTAAAGTACGTTATTTTTTACCGTGATTTATCCTTTAGAAAATTCTCTAAAACTTGATGCAAGTATTTTAAAATATGGACATGGACAATGTAAAAATATGGGCCCGGGTTTGTTCGTTAACATTAACGGGCGGACATGGATATTGTAAAAATAAATATGAACATGTCCGTCCGGCCCATTTGTATTTTATAATTAATATCTTTTTACCATTAATTAAAATTGTAATAATGTATTTTAAAACTAAATTATTAAAGTTATAGGATGAGACTCTTTGGTTATACATATTGAAATCCATCTGTCACTTAGTTACTTAAAATTTTAATTGCAACGGTATTTTTCCTTTACTTTTTGGTTCAATATTTGTTAATTAATTGCTGGTGATCAAGTTTATAGATTTGTAAGAGTTACACATTTTAGGCCCCGTTATCCCATGAGTAAGCTCGACATGTTTATAGCGCGGGCAGTGAACAAGTTGTCTAGCCCGCCAAAAAGGACTTGAGTTTACAATATTAGACCTATTAGACAAAAAAAAAAAAAACAAGTTAAGCTCAGCCCGAACCCAACCCAGATCCACAAATAATCACCTAAAAAAATTGRTTCTACTTCTAACAACTTAAAGTTTGAATTCAAAGTTGAAAATAAGTTTCATGTGTTTTGACTTTCTCTTGTTTTCACATTTAACTAACTACCCCTTGAATATTAAATGATTCTATATAACAAAAACACTCGTACGTAAAGATTGTGTTTGGTACACAATAAAAAAAACATAAAATTAAATAAAAAAATATTAACAGATAATATAAGACTGAGTGGGTCATATTAGAAACAAAACAGATCTAGAATTGGGTCAATTACGTGACTTAAATCTTCAACGAAGTCGTCTTTTTTTCAAGAAAGAGAGAAAATGAAAATGCGAGAGAAAAACCGAGTAGGAGGGTTAGGACATCTACGTCAGTAATTTTCATGGACCGTTTCTAATTTTTGGCAACCACGTGACATGAACCTGATTCATGTTTAGGAATCAGTTTACAGTATTTTTTTTTGTATGTTAAAAGCAAGTTCTGAGCGGTATGATGGAATTGAGATGTTGAATTCCATTGACCAAATTTCATTCTCTCGTTTGGTTCATTATTTTTCACRAAAGGAATCTTCAAAATTAACCACAAGGGTGGTGCCTGATTGGTTTGAGCTTGGCTCCAAAGATTAAAAGTACCAGGAGGTCCCAGGTTCAAATCCAAGGAGGAATAAAAACCCCCTTGTGGCAACGGAGGTTCAAATGCGGTGACTCCGGGCTATCTGCAAAGCAGGTGGTCGCTCTGGGATTAGTTGGCTCGCATAGCGGGTTGGATATCCAGGTTAATAAAAAAAAATCCTTCAAAATAAAATATATTTTGTTTTTTTTCCTGTTTTCATGAACGTTTTTCAAATTAAGATAATTTCCCATATTCCGACGTACTTTATTCATTTTAAAGAATTTGTTGAAGTAATTTACTTTCTTACCCTTCATGTCCCACAACCATACCACTTTGATTGGTTTCCAAAGATCCAAACTTTCCTACAGAAATGCATAAAAATCCACAAAAATACCATAAAATTTCAATCTAGAAAGACACCATTCTACTATCAAGTTGTTGTTGTCTCTAAGTTCCAAATGGAGTATTCTGTCAAATTACCTTTTTACCCTTCCTACCCACTACCATACCACTAGATTGGTTTCCAAAGATGCAAACTTTCTTGACAAAAATACATAAAATCTACAAAAAGATAGACTTACAATCTACAAATCTACCTCTAAAATCTGAAGTAGTTGTTGTCTCAAGTTCCAAAATGGAGTATTCTGCCAAATTACCTTTTTACCCTCTATATCGACAACCGTACCATTAGATTGGTTTCCAAAGATACAAGCTTTCTTGGAAGAAATACATTAAATCCACAAAAACACTAAGACTTTCGATCTACTTACTTACTTCTAGTTTTGTCTCAAGTTCCATATGGAGTATTCTGACAAATTACCTTCTTACCCTCCATAGCCACAACCATACCATTAGATTGGTTTCCAAAGATGCAAAATTTCATGACAAAAATACATAAAATCCACAAAAAATGATAACAAAAAGTTCAATCTAGAAATCTGCCTCTGAACTATGAAGTAGTTGTCTAAAGATCCAAATGGGGTGTTTTGCCAAATTACCTTCTTACCCTCTGTACCCACAACCATACCATTAGATTGGTTTCTGAAGATACAAACTTTCTTGACAGAAATACAAATCAATCTAGAAATCTACCTCTGAATTCCCCCAAGTAGTTGTTGTCTCAGATTCCTCTACCAAATTACCTTCTTACCCTCCATTTTCACAACCATATCACCAGATTTGTTTCCAAAGATACAAACTTTCATGACAGAAATACACAAAATTCACAAGAAAATGATGATTTTTTTAAATCTAGAAGTCTTGAACATTCAACTCTGAAGTAGTTGTTGTCTGAAGCTGAGTTTTGTAGCATGCAACCCTCTTGTTGTTTCTTGTGTTTTTCTCTAAAGAAATCAACCAATTCGATAAGCTGGTGTCTACTGCTGTTTCTTGATTCCGATTCCGATTCCGAATTTGATTCTGATTCTGATTCTGATTCTGGGGTTCAGACAGTTTGAAATCCGGAGTTGAATTCTCCTTTTGCTGGTCAAAATTCAAAGGTTTTCGTGTTCTTCCTTTTGATTTCAGAGCTTTCCACTGGGTAAGATTCTCCACGGGATTCAACACAGGAAGAACATAACCATTCCTATCGCGTGCATTCCTGTTTGGTCCAATTGTGTTCAACGATAAAGGTTCTCCTCTCGATTCCATTGATGTAACCCAAACTCCATCATCATCTTCATAATCATCATTATCCAAATCATAACCATCATCATCGTCGTCGTCGCTGCTTTGGTCCAAATCATAGTCTTCATGATCAAAATCTTCAACTTCATCATCACTTTCAACACAATTTCCGTATCTATAGTTTGGCGTACTCAAACCAACTAAATCGTATTTGGAATTGGCATCGGATTGGGACAGAAAAGTTTCGCCTTTTTCGTTCTTTTCCAATAAAGATTCAGTACTATCATACACTTGAATATGCTCATAGGTTGTGACATTTGTATCAAATGTCACTTTTTTCCTTCTTTTCAAGCTCAACGGTACCTCCGTCTTTTCTCTAGATCCCAAGAACAATTTGAAGAAGTCGTCGAAACCCAAATCAGAAACTCGAAATCAAGAAGAAACATAAGTCTAGAAAGCAAAATCAAGAACACAATTACACCATGAAGTATTACCTTGATTCTGAAACTGGATTCCATGGCTTTTCTTTGATGCTGTGTTCCAAAGATACATCAGCTTTCACAAGGTTCTGAATTGCAGGTTTCTGCCACAAAAATGGCAAATTGAGGCATTTTATACATACCCACAAAGTCAAAACTTGAATTGGCCATACAATTTGACTAAAAAAACAAGGGTTTCTTTCAGTTTCTTGGAATCAAACATTAGTGGTAGAAATTGAACTGTAAAGGGTGTTGATTTAAGCTTGAATTGAAGTCAAAATCTTTAAAAAGAACCACACAATTTGGCCCCAAAAATACAACGATTTCTTTCAGTTTCTTAAAAACCAAACATTTGTGGAAGAAATTAAACCGTAAAGGGTGTTAGAATGTTGATCAAAACTCACTTGATCTCGACGAATAACCTTGTRCCTCTCTTTTCTACATTTTGTTTTCTTTGAAGAACCGAAACACCCAACAAAACATCCCATTGGAGATCGATTTTTGAGTCTCAATTTGCAGAGATTTTGATCTTTCTTCAAATGGGTATTTGAGGAATTGAATTGTTAACGATTCTTCATTAGGTGAGAGGGAATTTGACAGAAAAGAAAAGCAGATAAACGGTCGAGTTTATGCCTTTCTTTGTTTTAGGGGTTAGGGTTTATGGATTTCAAAAGGGCAAGTGACCGTTGGGTTCATGATGATGATGATGGTGGTGGGGGRCCCATTTCAGGGATCAAATTTGCAGACAAAATCACAAAATTGGTGTCTGCAGAAACTATGGTAGATTCCGATTAATTGGGATTGATGAAAATGCCGAAAGATTGCATAATATTGACCATGAGATTGAACWAAAAAAATGGGAATCTTGAATGCTGTTTTGAAAGCCGATTGATCGTATAATTGAGCTTATAAAAAGTGGGATTTGCATTGATGTTTTATATCATTTAAACATCTATCGATTTCGGTTTTTTTGTTCGAGATGGTTTCGGGAGAGGACGAGATTGGACTACGAGAAGATTTTACGCAAGATGGGACTACAGATCTTAAGGGGAGACCGGTGTTGAGACCGGTAACGGGGAGATGGAAAGCTTGTTATTTCATGCTTGGTGAGTTGTCTTTCATCTAACTATATGGATTAATAATATCAAATTTAAGATTACAAGTAAATTATGCATAAATACAATTTATTAAAGCCTCATGTTTAAAAAATTATAGCATAACTGTTGGAGATGTTAGGGGTTGTTTGTACAGATTAAGACATCAGGGGTTGTTTATCTATACTATATTATAAAGCATTTGATAAAAACTCTTAAAAATCATTTTTTATGCATAAAGTATTATTTATTGATGCATAGTACTTAAAATTTAATATTACAAGTAAATTATACGTAAGTACAACTTATTAGAGCTTCATGTTTAAATTCATGTAACTAACTGCAAATGAATGTAATCAAATACAGAATAAACATTTTATTTTAAATATAAAAAATCTAAAATATAATTAAGATAATCATTGAAATCTAACAAAATATTTAATTATTATCTTAATAAAAATTATATTATTAAACCAAAAATAAAAAAATGAATTAAACAAATACACAAAAAAGGAGAAATTTGAAATAGTTAGTTTGTTACTAATATCAATATTTTTTTTCTAAATTTTATGATATATTAAAATTTACATTTTATTCAAAACTAAAAATATTATCGATTTCTCAAAACCACTAAAAACCGTATTAAATCAACATAGATAAATAATAAAGCGAAACATTAAAATTGAGATATATCTTGCTATATTATACGAGTACCCTTCTAGTATTGATTAAGTTGTTCGTATGAATTAAAATATTATGTATATTTGTATGAATTAAGATAAACTGTTGTCTATTATGTGTGCTGAATAGYTGGATCTGCTATATTTACAGGCTATGAAGTATGTGAACGGATGGCGTACTACGGAATAGCAACGAATCTCGTGTTGTACTTGACGAGGGAGATGAAGGAAGGCACGGTGAAATCATCGAATAGTGTCACGAATTGGGTCGGAACCGTTTGGATTACTCCGATTTTAGGAGCTTATATTGCGGACACGTATCTTGGTCGATACTGGACTTTCATGGTTGCTTCCATCGTTTATCTTCTTGTAAGAAAACTCGTTTATTCTGTAACAGTGGATGTCCATACCAGCTTACGGTACCTCGACTAACTTGTTCCTTTCTTGTTTGCCGACACAGGGAATGTTCTTATTGACCCTCGTGGTTACGATACCATCATTAAAACCGCCATCTTGTGGTAAAAATGTAAGTTACCTAGATTGCAATAAACAACCGTCGTCTTTCCAAATCGGTATCTTTTATTGTGCCTTGTACATTATCGCGCTCRGAACCGGTGGAACGAAACCAAACATCTCGACAATGGGTGCGGACCAGTTTGACGATTTCGATCTGAAAGAACGAGCCCAAAAACTAACCTTCTTTAACTGGTGGATGTTTAGCATCTATTTCGGAACCCTCTTTTCGAGCACTTTTCTCGTGTACATACAAGATAATGTCGGATGGGGTATTGGGTACGGGATTCCGACGACGGTTTTGGTGGTTTCGTTGATCGTTTTTATAGTCGGAACGCCAAGATACCGCCATAAGCCACCGTCTGGGAGCCCGTTTACGAGGATGACGAAGGTTTTGGTCGCTACGGCACGAAACTGGAATGCGGTTGTGCCCGAGGACCCGAAAAAGCTTTACGAATYGAGCCCGGATGAGTACGCCATCCCCGGGAAGTATAGAATCGGCCATTCGACTTCATTAAGGTAACTCTTTTGGATGTGTGTGTGCATGTATATATWGATAGAWACACGAAAATACTTRCACGCTCCTCAAATTTGGTGAAGTTTGAACTCTCRGTGACAATCATCTAAATGCGATTGTGAACGATACTGCAGGTTTCTTGATCGAGCTGCGGTGAAGACCGAAGAATCTGTTTCGGAATGGAAACTGTGTCCGGTGACCCAAATCGAGCAGACAAAGCAAATGGTGAAAATGGTTCCGATCCTGATGGCAACGTTCATACCGAGCACCCTGATCGCGCAAACGCACACCCTTTTCATCAAGCAGGGCACGACGTTGGTTCGRTCGATGGGTTCGCAGTTCGAGATCCCGCCTGCTTGTCTTTCAGTTTTCGTCACAATCTTTTTGCTAATAAGCATCATACTCTACGATCGCTTTTTCGTTCCCGCCATCCGAAAGTACACCAAGAACCCGAGAGGCATCACGTTACTACAACGAATGGCGATCGGGATGATTCTCCATGTTGTTATCATGATCATCGCTAGCGCGGTCGAAAGAAAACGACTTAGTGTYGCTAAATCTCACGGGATCCTAGGAAATGACCAAATCGTCCCTCTCAGCATCTTCATCCTCCTTCCGCAGTTCGCGTTGATGGGGGTTGCCGATAACTTCTTAGAAGTCGCAAAACTCGAGTTTTTCTACGATCAAGCGCCTGAAGGGATGAAAAGTCTMGGGACGGCTTATTGGACGACAGGAATAGGGGTTGGGTATTTCCTTAGCAGCTTCATTTTATCGACCGTGGCTAATGTAACAAAAAAGAACGGACACAAAGGTTGGATTCTAGACGATTTAAACGACTCCCGTTTGGATTACTACTATGCGTTTTACGCGATTTTGAGTGTCGTGAACTTGCTCTTCTTCCTTGTGGCCGCGAAATATTTCGTTTACAACACAGAAGTGAACGTGTCTGAGAACGAGTTGCAAGAAGACATCGTAAAGTTTACCGAAAAAGGATACATCGTCAGTTGATTCGGTTTCCGGCAAAACAAACCGAAGTCGTGTGACATCTTTTTGTAGTACCATTTTTTTTCAAATACGATGATTGTTTTAATACATGTATCAAGTACGATAATTATAAAAAGGATCATTTGATCATCGCACCTACGCTTGTTTTTCGGGTCTCCATAGTCGAAAATCGAACCAATCTAACCMAGTTCGGTATTGGATCAAACCATAAAACGGCCTCGGTGTGAACCAGGGATTAATTTTCAAAACAAGAAGAAATCTCTTGGGTATCGGGTTGGAACTTGGTTGGGTTCAAATGATCAATTTGAACCCAACCTGATGAACCTTGTACCTCTTTTATAGGTTAGTTCTTATTAGGTCTTTTCACAAGTATATCACAATTGAAGCCGTAATTTTACTTCTTATTTGCAAAACGGCAAACTGCTGCATGAAAAAATAACCTACTTTAACTTGATTCTTATTTCGGGTAACGTACTTTCAAAACTTATATTTTGGTATTAAAATGTATGTAATAATCATTTAAATACCCGGGTAACTAGTTGAAGACTAATTTTAGATTAAAAAAAGACGAACTTCAGATTAAAAATAATTCATGTCACTAACCAAGTCAGCAAATAATACTGAGTTGGATACCTCGTCAGTCGTCACATCARCATGATAACCGGTTATTGCTTCAACCAGTTATCCGGATACTTAAATGTTTAAAACTTTATATCTTAAGTAYCAAAATGGAAGTTTTGARAGTACGTTATCGAAAATATGAATCAAGTTAAAGTACGTTACTTTTTCATACAATTTGCCTTTTGCAAAAATCTTCAACTTTTTTCTTCGGTCTCAAAATAAGTATCCACATTTTTATTTCCTTTGTCCCAAAATAAGCATTACTTACAAAAATATATCTATTTTCCGATTCTAACCTTAATTTTGAGATGAATAGATTCATTACCCGTTTACTTCTTAARGGTAAATTTGTCATTTAATCAATTAAAATTTTAATAATTACACATTTCTAAAAGTGTGTTTTTTCCATTGTGGACACTTATTYTGGGACAAAGAGAGTATGATGCTCCAATGCTGCTAGTATGTCACAACCCGACCAACCCAACCCACACGGGTTGGGTTARATTGGTTTATGCTTCAAATATTTTTTTAACGGGTTAAGATTTTTCAARCCACACTGGTTGGATTGGGTTGTTCAATTGCCTTTAAACCGGCAAAAAGAATTGCTCAGACCTCGGTCTTGGTCATATATTTTCCATGTTCTTATCGAGTACACGGTACCAATATTTCTTCGAAACAACGATATGCAATGTGAACGGTGGTTATCTGAACGGCTCAATCGGTTCGGTTTCCTCGAGTATGCCAGCAGCCTCGAAACAATTGGCGGCTTCCCTTAGAAACATAGGACCGTCATCTTTGTAAAACAAGCCAAGGTTGTACCAAGCCGATGGGTTCAGCCGGTCTAGCCGTAACGCTTCGGTCAAGAAGCTTTTGGCTGCTGCCGCYGACTTGCCGCCTGCTCGTCGGATGATCACGGCTACGGAAACCAGACTCGGCACGTGAACCGGATCCACGTCTAAAGCAAGTTCATGAGCTTTCTGAGCTTCTTTGTCAAGACCCTTTGCTTCATAGAGTAAACCTACAACAATTGGAACCGAAATGAAGCACAAAATGTATAGCTCTCGGTAGAGGTCAGGTCTGCTGGGTACATGACCCCACCTCCGTGTGAGATATAGATATGCCAAAAAGAAGACGAGAACAGGAAGAACATACCGGTGATGTGCAATCTGGAAGCCGAGTAGTAATTAATGGTTTCGGATTTCAAAAGGCAAGCCTCGGCATCACGCCATTGCGATAAGTTCATGTAAACCATGGCCAAATCATGCCATGTTTCCATCTCCAAGCTTTTCAGATGTTTTCCGCCAATCTACCAAATGAAAAAACCACACGAAATCAAATTTCTTTTATCGAGATCGGGCTTCTCATCGAAGCCGTATCTGACAATCATAAGCTAGTTTATTTTTTGAGCTTATTGGAAAACAAAACCATGTTTGGGTTAGCCATAAGCTACTTTCCGGGGTATTTTTCCCTTTTTCCCAATTATGCCCCTTGTATAAATTTTCAATTAAAGGCCATTTTACGTCGTCATCTAACTTATCAGYTAGTTTTACCAAACATGATTAATTTATCAGCTAGATTATCACCCAAAAAAATAGCTTTTCGGCTAATAACTACAAGCCAAAAATTAGTTTTTGGCTAAACAGCGAGATTACACGCCAATAGCTAGCTTTTCGGCTAACAGCGAGCTTACAGGTCAACAACTAGCTTTTTGGCTAAGAGCTAGCTTACCCAGCCAATGACTAGCTTACCAACCAACAGCTAGCTTACCAACCAACAGCTAACTTTTTAGCTCGCCTACCAACCACCGGTTAGCTTTTTGGCTAAGAGCTAGCGTATCAGACTCCATCTAGCTTTTCGGCCAAGAGCTAGTTTATCAGCCACCGGCTAGCTTTTCGGCAGCTTTCCGGCAGAGTGCTAGCTTTTCGGCTAATAGCTAGTTTGCAACACATTATTGCCAAAAAGTTGAAATTACCTCGTGATTCCTTTTCTGAGATCGAAAACTTTTACTCTGAACTTGAAGAACAGCCAGAATCTGAGTGTATGTCTGAATGGCATTCTTAACCTGACCTTGTGCAACCTGGAGCCTGGCTTTGGTTCTAAGCAATTCACCCTGATCCCATTTCCCGGTCTGTTCGATAGCCGCGTTTATGACCGTTTCGCCCTCTGCAAACCGTTTTTGGGCCGACAATATTCTAGCCAATAGGATCCACCCTTTCAGGCTCGAACCACCTTCCAACTTAGCCAACCGTTTCGCATAACCGAGAGCTGTATCCAACTTCCTCTGCTCTGCATTTTCCAAACTCAGCTCGTAAACAATTCTCGAATCGTTCATTCTCGTCAATCTCCCYGCGATTTCCAAACACCGAATCGCCTCCGATTGTTTCTCGACTCGTTCGAGATCGCTGACAGCAAACCTGCAATGGGCCGAGAGCGAAACTCCTAACGTATAATACGCAACACCGACCATCTCGTCACATTGGTTTTCCAACGCCTGAATGGCCCGTTTAGCAGTACTTGCACCTTCTTCACAAGAACTCGAGCTTTCGGCACAAATTTTCGAAGCCAAAAGTAACGCAGGCCCAGAATGTGGGCCCATGTGTCTATATATACTTCTCAGTAAATGCAAAGCCGAGGAATCATCACCTTGACCGTGGTAACATAGGGCTAAAAGGAGGTACCGTTCTTTTTCGTCGATAACGCCAGGTGGCAGTTCTTCGAGCTGTGTACACAAAGCTCCGAGCCCGCCGGAGATGGCCGTCGCATAAGAAAGATGATCTAAAACCATCGGGTCCCATTCGATCATCTTTAACGAAACTTTTCTCAGTAAAATCATCAGAAGTAAGATCGCTTCTTCGATGTTGTTTCTGGGTACAAACGAACTGTCCATTTGAGATCGTAGATTAGGAGGGACAGCTTCTTCGCCTCCATTGTAAAGAAGAAAAACGACAAACTCCTTCTGAATCTTTGCAGTTGTTTCTGCATTCAGATTCTGGTGGTGAAGTAACGCCCGCCGGAATGATAAAACTGCTTCCTGGGGTGAACCTGCGAGTTTCCATAACTCGGGAAGCAACTCGACTGCACGGTTTAGAGTCTCCTGCAACTTACAGTCAGCACCAAAGTTGTCTGGCAAGCCTTCTGGTAACGATGATTCAACGATGTCGAGAATAACTTTGCACGATTCAGCAGCTTCTGCAAAAAAGATGAATCGAGACTTGTGATATGCCATAAAGTGTTGTATTAGCTCTTTCACAKGACACGTTTTCAAATAACGTTGTATAAAAAAACTTATAGGACGCTTTATTTCAAAATTGTCCTATAAAAAACTTGTTAGGGAAGCCAAAAACGTCCTATCAATTTATTGTAACAATTGTTTGGTCGTGTAAACTTTAAGTCTTATAAAGCAATCTATTAAGACATTTAGACATTTCAGGTGTCCTATAAAGCCGATTTTGTTGTAGTGAGTGAGACTTCACAGGAGTAAACCAACGGCATGTACAGAACAAAGAGAGTACCTTTATACCTCTGAAGAATTTGCAATGATTTCGACTTCAAATATATCGCTTCAAGGAGTAAACCGACGGCGTGTATAGACAACGGTGGATCGGTGTGATTATGGGAAAGTTTTTTACGAGATTCTCCTCTTTGGACAAGGCTAATCTTCATCTTCGGAGTTACCGTGGCTATATCTATCCCTTCAAAAACATGAAGAGMGGCTTCTACGTTTCCCTTTTGGTATTCGTATCTCCCTAGCAACGCTCTTGCTTCCTGTGTTATGCGGTCAAATAACCAAGGATAAATAAAGACGTTACTAAACCAAACAAACCCAGTATTTYCCACCCGGATGTGGGGTCAGGGTCGGATGTATGCAKGCCTGACCTCTACCCTAAAGAGTAGAACGGGTGTTTCCATGAAGACCAATAAAAATCTAAATCCATTATTGTAAATTGAAAAGTTTACTTTAGAGCTTAAAGGGTTGTTTACCAACACAAATTGAGGAAGCGCGAATCGGGTAAGAGTGTTGTCTGGGTCAGTCCTAATCAGTGAATGAGTAAGGGCCCGTTGTTAGYAGCTTAATTTGCTGAATGGGACTCAACAACTTATTTGGTCAACTATAGATGATTGTTTGGTAGTGGCTTAATGATATAGAAAGTGCCTKATTCTGTAAGCTTCTAGTGGGAAGCTTTATGCAAAAAGCCAAGTTTTTYCCAAACATGCCCTCCCAATTAAAAAACAAGCTCTTTCATCTATGAAAGAAATCCTCCCAAACAAAAAATCTTCCCAATTTATACAGACGGATTAATCCACACAGACAGCTTTATTCATACAGGACTTAATGAAAAGTCAACCAAACAGCCCCTAAGAGCCCCTCCCTTAGCTTACTGGCTCAGCATCATGGACTAGTAAGACGGGCTTGGTAAATACCTGCATCTCTGACYGGGTAAGCACCTCTTACCTAGCAAGAGACAGTAAGCTGGTAGTAAACAACCCCTAACTCTAATGGAATGAAATTAGGATTCAAAAGTCTATGGATTCGATTCAAAACATAAAAATGGTTTAGAGAAACAACCTCATAGTTCAAAGAACCATTTTCACGTAGAGATGATTCCGCTTCTTCTATGTTGCCCGTATCTGGCTTCTTATCATCGTTTTCGCCCGAAGAATAAGCACCCGACGAATAATAATCCTCCTCCACTGCTACCAATTCCGATGAAGGAATCATCTCGTTTTCTAGCGTAATCTACTTCTCTTCGATCCAATTCTATGCCTCACACCCTCTTGATCTACAAAACCAACAATCACATTTCCCTAAAAACACAAAATTTTGACCGAAATATGCGTATACAAACACGTAGTAAACAATAACGATATAAATTGAAAGAGAGARAGACAAATATGCTAAATTTTTGAGAAACCAGATAACACGAATCAAGGTCTGCATACGTCTTAACTCGTCCCCGCCCCCAGCGGAATACACCGGGGCCGGTTGGTTTGGTGGAATTCATTCAGATCCAGGATGAAAATATGTCTGAAACTTGCCAATTTGTCATGTATGCAGAGAATTAGAGAGATCACACATGAAACACATTAATCATCTGAATACTAAGCTGTTCAAGATTATTTTAAGACAAGATTCAGTACCCAAATTGAAATTACTGAAAAGACTGCAAATTTTGAGTTCTAATTACAGATTAGAGATCGATTTCGTACAAATATATGCCAAATTAGTGAATTAATCCAAACATTAATCAGTAAATCTGCCTAATTCAAACCCTAAAAGTAGAAAACCCTAATAAAGAACAGTTCATGAACCCAATCAACTATACAATTCACGACAAATTCAAGCCCTAGAAAGCGTATAATTCACGATGAATGACCAAACCCCATATGAATTCGATCACAAGAAAGAAATTACCTTTGTTTACGGCGACTGAAATTGAGGGCATGAGAATCGAAACCCCACCTTATATTCCAGTCAAAAAGGGGTTTGATCGACACAAAATCTAGCAAAGATTCGCGATTTCACCATCTTTATTGAAGAACAGTATGAAATACTGTAATTGATGAATACCAGAAGCTGTGGGTGTGGGAAATTTTCGAATTTTGTTTTCCCATGTGTGTAGATCATGGCGTCATTAAAAAAAAGCAAAATTATTGAAGAAAAGTAAGGRGTAATTAAATAGACCGGGCCGTCTAAAGCATTTATGGGAATACCTGTCGGACAACGTTGCATCCCTCTTTGTGTTACAATAATTTCCATTTTATCTGGTTTTTTTTTATTAAAAGGTTGTTTACTTGCAGTTTAATTAGGTTTATTGGTCTATTTGGTTTATTTGTACAGTTCATTTGGGTTGTTTACTTACGGCTTATTCGTACAGAACATGACTTAATCGTACAGATAGAAATGGTGTATTGTCCTCATCCAGCCATAAAAATGACATCATTACCCTTTTATTTAAAACACTGTCTCATTCCCATATGAGACACCTCATCTTCGGCCTTTTTATGATTTTTTGTTTTGATGTTCAAATAATTAATATTGGGAAGTAAATCGGTCATTTATGTTATTCAGACTGTTGGTTCAGATAAAAAAAGTAAATAACAACACYCATTTATCCAGATAGACAAATTTATCTTAATAAAAAATTTGGTAAACAGCCTCTAAGTCTTGTATGAATAAATTTTTATGTATTAAGCTATCTTTGTAGATTGCATTTTTGTTTATGGGCGTTTTTTTATAGATGAAATGARTGTGTTTTTTTTAAATAKAGGGACRAGTTTGGGAGAAAAAAATTGGTTTTCTACATAAAGTTTTTCCTATTAGTTTATTGATTTTATATCATTAAGTCACTACCAAACAATTATTTATAGATGACTGAATAAGATGCGAGTCTCGTTAAACTTATTAAGTTGCAATCAAACATGCCTTTTAGWGCCCCAACTGCTATGCGATCATGATATACACGTCATTTAAGAAGAAATATTAAACTTAATGCCTAGTGAGAACAAACAGTTATAGAATAAAGTTATAGAACATTTAAAACTGAAAACATAGCTTTAATCCAATCATTTTATATAATTAAGATGTTGTTTACCCTTGGAAGGGCGAAAAGCATCATAAGATGAYGGGAGAGACCCGATTTACCATTGATAATAACGGAACACAAAAGTAAGTCATGTTTCAGATGTGAAGTATGTGAATAAAAGCTTTAAATAACTAGAATACAACATTTTAACATGTATATAGTTTTGTAAGATTACAGGATGAACTCACAAGTTAGGTTTTGAAGAAAACCTAAAAACCTAGCAAAATGGAGAAGAGGTCGAGTAGATCTTAAATCTCAGCCCAAAATACTTGAATCCTATCCTGGAAGTGCCTTTAATGCTCCTTGAATGCACCAAAATCGGACCCAATGTTTCCTTTTGTGGTTTAAATGATACGAAGGAGAAGAAAAAGCGGAGTCAAAGAAGAAAATCCCTAAGAAAATCGAATTAAACTACCAGCAGATGGCTTCCACAACTTTGCGGTGATTTTAGCCGTGTCAAAGCCACCCGTGAGCTTTCTAACCCGACACAAATAGTGCCTAAAGAAATTTCATTGTAGCTTTAGCTGCACCAAGGTYGCCTGCATGCTTCGAGCAGGGCACAAACATTGCCTAATGCGGCTCTGTCGCAGCCTTAGCCGCATTCCCCACTGTTTCCCTTCCCAAACTCATTTTTCTTGAGTTTTAAACACCACCAAACACCCTGCACATAAGTTGCTCAAGGGAATTTAATTTTAACACATCGGGAAAGAAAATATAGATAAAYTATAACCTTATCAAGTTAACTAAATTTCGGGTGTTACAGCAAAWTTTTCTGTTGTGAGGCATTTTGAAAATATAAATAGTATGATTTTCATTTGTAAAATACAAATGAGATTTCTGAGTTAATCATATTTTTGGAGCATTATTTTGCATAAATGTGAGTTAAGTGTATTTTATTGCTTATATTGACCTTTATTTGAATAATAAWAAAAAGTGTGGTGTTATTGGCTTGATTTCGTCCCATTTGAGTTTTAGGGAGCTTTGTCCAATTTAATTTGCTCATCGATTGAGCTCAGACTTGATTTGCATTTATAACATCTTTATTTGGCATTACATGTTTTGAGTGCGTTGATCATTAAAGCGAGGTCATGTAATTTAATTGTAATACACTAGATCCATAGACATAYAAGTCAGTCATGTTTGATAAGTAAGGACTCTTGATGTTATCACTTTATGAACAATGCCTGTGTAGGCATAATGGTCATCTCGGTAT